TGGTTCCTACACATCTGAATGAGGGCCATATACAGCCTAATAAAAGCAATCCTGTGGTCCAAGAAGGATGGAGTCTTTCTGATTGACATGAATGAGGCCCTTGAGAAATCTAAGAATGATCAACCAAAACACAAAAAGGCTGCATGGCTTCCAATCAAAGGAGAAGAAACTGATCTAAACAGAATCTTCTAGAGCTAATGAACAGCCTAGATTTCTAAAAGAATCAGAAGCAATCAGATCAGTTTAACCAAAATGCCAACACAATGACACTAGCAGGCACCTCAGTCACTGCCAGCTTGTTAGTTCAGCAGCTCTTGATCCAGACCTCAAATTACTGTTTGGTTAAGAAGCATGAACTCAAGCAGGCAGGACTGGCAAGGACCCAACAGTCAGAGAGCCTTGAAGGGCTGAGATTTATCAAGGATGTTGCAGGGTTCTTCTGATTCTGTCTGATGAGTTGCTTTCACAGCTGTTCCTGAACTCCAAAAATAAAGAGTTAGATAGGATTCCCTCTCCTGTTTGTTAGGAAAAACATACAAATGCACAGCAGAGGCTTTGAGACAAAGAGGTCCCTTGAAGCATCCACCTTCGACAAGCAACAGTTGTATTGGAGAAGGTACAAGCCTTACAGGCTGGTTATACCACCTTGGAAAAGGACTGTCAGACACACATATAAAGAAGTGTAATACTTCCTGAAGAATGGGAACCCCATTCTATCCTAAACTCTAAGTCCAGGAACAACTGGAACTAAACACAGTGCTGCATGCCCAGCAGCAAAGGTGGGACAGACTCCATCTTCTGGCATTGGCAACAGGAAATAAGCAGAAACACTATTCTTTCTCCTATGGTCTATACTGGAGCTACAACTGTATCAAATGATGGTTTAAACTTAATTTTTTATACAGAACAGCAGGAGAATTTGTGGGGAACCCAAAGACTACTCTCCTTCTCCAATCTTCCTTAAACACAACCTCCCCAAATCCTTGACTTCCTTCTGGATGCCCATCATCCAGCAAGACTGTAATCATCCAGTTCTTCCCCTCCTCACAGGCTTGGCAGGTTAGCTCCCTGTGCTAGTGTCTACCTTAAAATTACTCTATTTATAACCTCAGTAAGTTTGTTTAGAACTTACGTGTTTGTAAGCAAAGAGCTGTCCAGGTCACTGTGGATATTAAACTAAAAGGAAAACATAAAGAGCTTTTGAAACAGCAAATAAGGCAGCATTTCTCTGCTGCCTTTCATCCTGCAGTTCACAAGCTCCCAGAGCACTCTGCAGATGCAAACACAGAGCTGCTCTCCCAGTCCTGGGGTGGAACATGGCTGTTCAGGACATGGTGCATCCCTCCACCTCTTCATCCTGCCAGGCTCTCACTTCTGCTCTGCCACCCCGTGGCTGTTCAACCGCAGAGCTCCAGCAAGCAGAAGTGTCTCCTGCCCAGAAAGAGGTTTCTTGTACACACCAAGAACTCAGCCAGCATGGATGGTTCATTTTTCCACAGTCAGGTACTTGCAACCAGTTAACACAACTGGTTGGATTTAAGGACAAGAGCTGTTTTCAACTGAGACACACCAAGAAAGGGCATGGACACTTCAGGGTTTGGTCAGTAAGTCAGAGTTAATGGCTCTGACCACGCCATTAAATACATTGAAAGTGTTTAACAGAAACGTTCTTCAAGAACATGGGCTGCAGGCTGGATTCAAGTTCTTCCTTGGGATGCCAGCACAGAGTCGGGATTCAGGCAGGGAGATGTAGGTTTGATTCCAAGTAAAGGATGCCACCTACTGAACCCTGCTACAGCGCTGCATGCTTTCATCCTCACTGCTCCAGCCCTCTAGCAGGAGCACAAACCCACCTGCAGCCCCCAAATAAATTCCAAGGAGAAGCAGAAAACAGGCTTGTAAAAACAAAGCTTTTCTCACTGCTGCCCTCCCCACAACCCAAAGATGTGTTACTCACCAAACATCTGCACAGCCAGAATTATTCCTGGCTTTGCAATGCTGACAACCTTAGTATTAAAAAGACTCTTTACATCTTTATTCCATTCCGGATTCATTATAGCACAGCCTGACAATATACACCAGCACAGTACATTCTGCAGCGTTTAACCCCTGTTCCCAGTTGCTGTTCTTAACTCACAGCTTAATGACACAGAGTTAGTAGATCATAATATGACCCTGTTAATATTTTTTTAATGCCATTTTTACAAATTACAGCATAATGCACTGATTACGACGATGAAAGGAAAGTCTCCACGTCTGTCTGGAAACCAAATAAAAGAATGTTTGAACATCTGTTCATCCTACAAATGTCTTTAAAAGCTTTGATTTTCCCATAATCATTTTGTTCCACCATTTCACCCTTTTTCAAATGTGTATCCAACAGCCTCAGGACAGCAGCCAGAGATCTGCAGGAACAGCACATTATAATCAAAGTTCCTGGGCACATTTAAGTTCTCCTTTTGGAATTAAAAATGGGGGAAAACACAAAACCAAACCCCAGTCTTCAACAGATACTTCTCCAGCTGCCTGACCTACAGAAACCTCTGCTGGGGAGCAAAATGAAAGGATGGGGCTTTATGTGGAGGATGACAAAGCACAAGGACAGGCTATGGTAGCGGTGAGGGGACTCACATGAGGCTTCCTCCCTTGAAGTACCTCAAGCAAATAAACCCTGGAACCCTCAGTTCTAGAAGACCCTTCAGTCAAGCAAGGGCTGCAAAACTAACATTTCATGACTGACGAGTCTTTAAACAGAACAACTGAAGCTGGTACAGGCAATCCAGAGAGCAAAGGGGAGAAATCAGACAGTGCTTTGCAAAAACGCATACCAGCAGTTACACTGACAGCCTCCTCTCCAGAACTGGGAAAAAATACCTTAGAAATGTGAAAGACAAAACCTGCAAGTGCAAGGCTAGCAGCTTCAGAGCCAGCGCTATCCAACAGCAGGACACCTCTCCCAACGACTGCCCTTTCCCTTCCAGAACTGCAACCAGAGGTGGCGGAATGTAGTGACCCATTTAAGATTTGACTTAAGAATTATACAGATAAAAAAGTTCCTTAATTATTCACTTTTGATTTCTTATTTAATGAGAAGTCTCTTTACACCAGTAATTCTTAGATTAATTTGGGATGGCAATAACAGCATTCCTCCTATGCCACCTGCTTCTCTAGCTTCCATCACTGCAGCATCTTAGGCAGAAGTAACAGTATAGGGTACAAAACAGGATTTGATAAATGCATAGAAGACAGAACAAATATTCTTTCCAAAGATTGCCTATGGGGGTGCCTGGGAAGAGGAAAGAAATGGGGAAGGAGAGATGCCGGTGAGGCGAGATGCTTTTTGTCATTACAGAAGGATACCCTTTCCAGCAAAGCTGGCAGCACAAGTCATGTTAAGCCATAGCTGAAGTTGCCTGCCTAATTCCTCTAGGATCACATGGAAAGCACACCCCATAATCTTAAGGGATGTGCTAAAGCTTTGCTGGGACTCACTCAGCAGAAACTGCTTGGGATTATTCCACAAAGCAATAATTCTGTTCTGATTTAAAGGGGTACCACCAAACTAGTTTAGATACCAGACCTACCCTGCATCGCAACTGTCCAGCTGCAAATATCCTCTCAATAGCTGGTATTTTTGCCATTTGTATCCACTTGGGTTACATGGAAATTAAAAGGAGAAGAAAAAGACTAAAAAAACCATGTTAACATGATGGACTCAGGCCTATCAATAGATATTTGATAACACTGAGTGTTATTAATAGCATAATAATATGATTAATGAGTGTAGCAGTCTATTACAATTATTTACATCCATTTGCAACTAGTGCACTTACATTATACATGGGGTCCTCCTCCGTGGCTGGTCTCAGCAAATGGGGCTCTGGCTGCTATTTAACAGCACCAAGCAGAAGTAGTCTGTGTTCAAGGGGCAGGAAATAACATTTCCCATGCACCAAGACCGAGTCCAAGTTCTGTTCCAAACTGCAGCTTTCATACCTGTAGAATTATTGTTGGTTTTCACGCTAAGGTGTTCCATGCTTTGTAAGTAACAAAGAAGGGACATTACCAGGGTTCTCCTTTTCATGAGCCTAGAACATGAAATTGAGAGGAAGAACTAAAGCAGCCATGAAATCTCTATTAAACAACTAATGGTTTCTAAAGCATCTTGGAGATACTCATTTTACAAGGCTTATGCTGCAATCTTCTATCATTATTTTAATGAAGTAAAGCCCTTGACTATTTCCAGAGGCAACATTTTCTTTCACACACAAAAAAATCTTGGTTACAAAAAGAAAAAAAAAAAAAGAAAAGAAAACAATTCTGGAATAGGATTCATTGCAGAACAGGCAGAAAATTCAGAAAAGCTACATAGAATGTCACTGGAGATCAATTCTGAACCTTTGGAACAGCAAGGAGAACAATTAAGACTCTCAGTTACACACATCATGTTGTTTAATATGAAAAACATTGAGATATAAATCATTTATTAAACACATCCATACCATCTCTCAGATAGCATCTTACACAGCTGCAGCAGAAGGAATGCAGAACATCCACTTTAGGTTTCACCTACTCTATCATGTGCTTTCTGCCTCCCACTTCGCTTGAGGAAGTAAAGCTACAACAATCAGCTTTGCTTTGTGGGTCACATGAAATTCTCATCTCCATTAGGTTTAGATTAATATTGGTGGCAACTTTTAAATCAAGAGAAACCTCCTATCAATCCTGCAGACAAACACCGCTATCGGAACACACAGGCCTGGACGCGCTCAGCTCGCAGGAAGCGTTCTCTGACAGCCCGTTACAGACTCTCATCGCAGAGGTGCCAAAATAACCAGATTCTAACAGAACACAACCAGACCGCAGGGATTTCGGAGGGACACACAGTCAACAGGAGCTTCCCAGCTCTGCTTGCAAAGAAGGAACAAGACAAACATTCCACCCGAGTTTCATTTCACAGTCTGGTCTTCCAGGTGTGTTCAGAGGCTATTCTTGCTTTCTCAGGACTGAATCATTTTCTTCTGCGTGTCAAAGACATATCTTTTAAACAGAAGAGAGATGGTAACGGGTTGGACCAAGTCGTTCTTGCTGCTTTCGTCCTCTTTGGTTGTATCCCCCTTCCCTGCCTTAGATTTCTTCTTGGAGGCAGCAGTAAGCATCATCTTGGTTTCTGGCTTCAGTCCATCTGTAAAAAACAAGAACACATATGACAAACGCGCTCAACATCACATTTCAGTGTAACTGGAAAAATGAACAGGTAAGTTGGCTTCTGAAGTCAAACAAGAAAAACAAGGACTTTAATTTGCATTAGGAAAGTCACATTTCTGCACCATGTGTGGAATACGGGAACTCACATGAAAAGTGAGAAGCCTTCAAATACAGTTATTAGGTAGATTTAGATGAGACCTTAGGAAGAAATTCGTCCCTGTGAGGGTGCCGAGGCGCTGGCACAGGGTGCCCAGAGAAGCTGTGGCTGCCCCATCCCTGGCAGTGTTCAAGGCCAGGCTGGACACAGGGGCTTGGAGCAACGTGCTCTAGTGGAAGGTGTCCCTGCCCATGGCAGGGGTTGGAGCTGGATGAGCTTTACGGTCCCTGAACCATTCCACCAAAGTTCATAAAAGGAATGCCCCAAATCCCAGGGCAGTATCCTGGCTGTATTCTTCTACAGTTTTTAAAGTGTTAAATACAGGCAAAATTTAAACAAGCCAGAGCAACTTGCCTGGTCTAAACTTTTTACTAGCAGACTCTTCCTATCATTTACACACATCTCCCAAAAGTAACTTCTCATCACTAAGAATATTTATTAAAATATAAGTCATGAATGAAAAACTAGTGGTCAAATACTAAAATTATAGAGAGTCCTAAGAGTCAGAAGGTTCTTGAATTTCTTTGGTCTATTCTCCATCAGAAGCCCACTGCTTCAGTTTTAACACATTGCACAGATTTGCATGTGTTTGGTCCCCCCCCCCCAAAAAAAAATACACTATTTGTTGTTAAAAGTTTCCCCTGACACTGCTTAGGGGAACCAGAATTAACCTGTGTAGGATTCTAGGGATCTGACTTAAGTCTTTCTCCAGACATCTGTGCCAAACAAAAATACTTGTGCTTCCCTTCCTAAGTATCAGGGTTTATTACACTTTGATAACTTTTTATCTCAACACATTGGTGGCATTTTGGCCGAGAAACACAAGATAGGAAAGCCCAAAGAAATCTGGAGAGATGCAGCTCCTTGAAAGACCACTCCTGAGGAATTGTTTTCTCAAAGCAGAAGTTGGGCAACTCCTTGGAAGCTCATTCAGCACCACGGGAATACACCACGAGGTGGTTTTCAGGCATCTGGCCAAATTCAGTTCAGGTATTTCTAACGTGTGGTGTCACATAACCTTATCTCAAACACTTAATCAGCTTCTCTCCCCTCATATTGAAATTCAGCTGCGGATTCTCGTATCACAGCTTGACAAAAAGATCGAGATGCTTATGATTTGCTGGAGACAGGAGGTCTGCAGGCACAGGGGCTCTGCTCCAGCCCAGCCCCATCCAGGGGCACCTGCAGCCGATCCCGGAGCCACAGCCCCAGAGCCCAGATTTCCATCCTCCTGCATCAGGCAGCATCCACTGTGGAGGGAAAGGAGGAAACAGGGAAGTGTTGAAGCAAGCCCAGGAAACGCTGATTTGCTGTTTCATAACAGAGGTTTTAAACCAGCCCTAACACCACAGAGCAGCCACAAGAGGTTTGGAGAGATCCAGGGGTCTCAATATGTGGAAAATATAGAGCACGAGAGGAGAGAAGCAACAGCTTTTGCATACAACTAAATAAATTAGTCTACACTAAGGCTGCAGAAGTCCAGCATCAAGCACAACCAACTTTGTATTGCAGAGTTCTGCAAGATTTGACAGGCTGAGAGAGCTGGGCTGGTTAGGCCTGGAGAAGAGAAGGCTCCTTAAGGGCACACCTTGGAGTAGCTCCAGCACCTAAAGGGACTCCAGGAAACCTGGAGAGGGGCTTTGGACAAGGGCCTGTAGGGACAGGACAAGGGGAATGGCTTTAACCTGCCAGGGGGGGAGACTGAGATGAGCTCTGAGGCAGAAGCTCTTCCCTGTGAGGGTGCTGAGGCGCTGGCACAGGGTGCCCAGAGAAGCTGTGGCTGCCCCATCCCTGGCAGTGTTCAAGGCCAGGTTGGACACAGGGGCTTGGAGCAACCTGCTCTAGTGGAATTACCTAATCAGATCTGCCGCCCTCATACTGCAAACAGATTTGGTGCTGGCACCGTCCCCACCGAACGGCATTTTCCATTCCCAGCCCCGGTGCCGGGCGGTCTGAAGGCTGGAGGGGCTCCGTGACTGGGAGCAGCACAGGGACCTGCGGGTTCCATCCCTCCACGGGTGTCTCACGTTACACACAGTGCGGACTTCACATTGTACAAACCCAAGGAAAAGAAGGGAAATAGATCTGTCACTGAAGAAGACATCAGACCCTTGATAGCTGAAATGACAGATATTTTTAGATGGAGGTCTAGTTTAACTTACGTTAAGGGTCTAATCTCTCCTGAACAATGGCTATGTTAGCTTGAACACATAGTGAGAAATCTGTTCCATTAATTAAGTGCTGCCTGTACTACTTGGATTTGTAGCAAAAGTTAATAGAATTTTTTTCTTCTTCCTCTGTTGGACAATTACTTTATTTTGCTAAGTTGCTAATGGATTAAATTGAAAAGGTCTGTATGGTAAAAAAAGACTTTAGCTTCAAAGTTCCAAGATACGCCTTGCGTACAACAGTGGAAAAATACCTATATATTAATACTATTAACGGGCAGTCCTCAGAGGCACATAAGATATCTCAAAGCTTCGCAAATTCATTTCCATTCATCACACCCGTGTCTGTCACAAGAGGTGCCCAGCCAGGGCTTATGTCAAATGTACTTGTAGCATCAACTAACCCAGGTTAGATGTGAAAACCTAGTTGTAAAATAGCTTAATCTACATGATTCTGTTCAACTACTGTTAATAATTAGCAAATAAGAATACAGACTCTTAACATAATATCCTTTGTCTCAGTGTGGCCTCAAGGATTTCGTCCAAATGGAGCCATTTATAAATGGAAAAAAAACCAAAACAAAACACTCAAAAAAACCTAAAGAGTGAATTTTCAAATCCAAATGAATTAAAATTCCTCATCAGGAAAAGCAATTCCCAAGTGTAGGAATAGTTTCACACACACAAAATAAGGACAAAAGTAGTATTTGGTTTTTTACACCATTTTCACAAATAAGAACCAGCTTCTTGGTGATCTGCAGCATCTGAAATAGTTCAATGCATTGCAGCAAGAAATTTGCATAGAAAGGCATAGATATCAGTAATTTCCTATGGAAATATCACATTGTGGAATTCTGGACCCCTTCTTGTGTATAAATACAGGCTGGTCTCTGCTTTTTCTCCTACAGTCCAGTTCCTTCTTCCCTAACTCCCAATTCCACTTGCTAATCCTGCCCTTCAGGAATTTTCTCTCTCTCTCCTTCTCAACTTTATTTTTCAGACTTCCCATCTCCATATTTCTATTTCCAGAGATCTCTTCAATATTTATATTGGAATAGACAGGGCCTGTCTCCTTCAAAGCTAATGAAACATTGTGTTTGCATGGAAGATTTTCCAGCCAGACACGTGTAGATGTGATGGAAGATAACCCAGTATCTCCTCATGGCCCAGCCAGAGACAGGAGTCATTTCTGAGCAAGCGATAAACACATCATTGAAAGTAAGTGAAATAACAGAGGTGCAGGGCAGGCTCTCCAGCACAGACACCAAGAGTAATTTATTTTCCTGTACAACAACTCCCTTTTCCTATGTACACAAGAAATCCTACCATTAACCACCCCAGACAGCACCAAGGAAGAGAAGAGCATCAGAGGATAACTGCACTGTTTTCTTACAGCAATAATTGTTAATGGGGGGAGAGGGGAAACATGCTAAAAGATGTTGAGTCTCCTGATTGAGAACTTTGCTTTCAGGTCAGAACTGGCAGTTCATCCTACCAATAGAAAAATCAGCCAATGCATTATTTGAGCAGCCACCCCCAATGGAAGCGCCCTGGTTTGCTGGGAAGGGGCTGGCGCAGGGCTCACCACTGTGGCAGGGAAAAGCACCCTGAGGCTACACCAACACTGCCACGGGAAGAGAAAATGGTCCTTTTTGCACTCAATATTAAGAAATTTCTTGACTGTTCCTGACTTGCCGATATTATCTCCAAACCTCCAATTCCATTCAGGAATTTGTGAGCAGAGTTTCAGACGGAAACTGAACTTTGGTTTTCCCTTCTGTAAACACAGTATCATAGAATCCCAGACTGGTTTGGTGGGAAGGGACCTGAAAGCTCATCCAGTTCCAACCCCTGCCACGGGCAGGGACACCTTCCACTAGAGCACGTTGCTCCAAGCCCCTGTGTCCAACCTGGCCTTGAACACTGCCAGGGATGGGGCAGCCACAGCTTCTCTGGGCACCCTGTGCCAGCGCCTCAGCACCCTCCCAGGGAAGAGCTTCTGCCTCAGAGCTCATCTCAATCTCTATTTCCTTTGAACAGTGCAAGTAGAAGACTCACCTACCTGCAATCTTGTTTTCTGTCAACATTCAAATGTTAAAAACTGAACATCAGAGAACAAGTTAACATTGCACATTTGATGCTGGAAATAAATTTTATCCAAAGGAAACATAACCTTGTAATACAACAGGCAAACATTTTCTTTCTTCCTGAGGGAAGAAAATAAATGAGCAAGCAAAATTTGAAAGAGGGAAAGGGTTGGGGATAATCCTCACTTACAATGGATCATTCCCAACAGCTGGTTTTCACAATTTAAGGATTTCCTTAAATTGAACCCTCAGAGCCTGAACCCAAATTACACAGTTAAGGAGCACAGGCTGCATCAACTCTCCTGCTAACAGAGAGCACAAAAACCAGTGCCACTAGTTTCCAGCAGAATTAAGATCAATACCAGTGGTACAAGAGCAAACTGCAGCCCAGGATGGGGCAGGAATTCTCCACCTGACATCCGGGTCAGTACGTCAACACCTGTGAACCTTTCCAACCAACAGATTTAAGTGCAATGCTCCTGCAGGAGCCAATCCCCTCTGCTCCTAGGTGTTCATCACTGTGATAACAAGCATAATACGATTACCTGGACAATTTCAGTGTAAC